GGGGGGCCACTCACGTGCTGGGCATCCGGGGACAGGGCTGCACGCACGCCCGGGGCGGGGCCATCCGTATGCCGCGTGGCCGGTGCCGGCACCACCCATGCGCCGCACTTCTGGGGCTGGCGCTGCTCCTGTGCCGCGCACCCAGAGGCGGGGCTGCCCACACGCCACACGCCCAGAGCCGGAACAGTCCAGGCACCACACGCCTGGGGCTGGTGCCGCTCCTGTGCTGCGTGCCCAGGAGCCGGCAGTGTCCATGCACCGCGCGTCCAGGAGCCGGCAGCACCCATGCACTGCACGCCTGGGGCTGGCACCTCTCCTGTGCCGTGTGCCAAAGGCAGGGATGCCCATACGCTGCGCGCCCGGGGCCAACACAGTCCATGCACCGCGCGCGGGGGGGCGGGGCCGCCCATGTGCTGCGCGCCCAGGGCTGGCATCACCCCTGTACCACACGCCCGGGGGCGGGGCTGGCCCCGATCACTTGGCGGGTGCACAGAAATGGCCCGGTGGGTGCCATGGCACCCGTGGCCACAGCATTGGGGACCACTGATCTAGACCCTTCCTGACAGGTGTTTGTCTGACCTGCTCTTGAAAATCTCCAGTAATGGAAATTCCACAACTTCCCTGGGCAATTTATTCCAGTGTTTAATCACCCTGACAATTAAGAAGTTTTCCTTAATGTCCAACCTAAACCTCCCTTGCTGCAATGGAATCCCATTGCTTCTTGTCCTATCCTCAGAAGAACAATTTTTCTCCTTCCTCCTTGTAACAACCTTTTTTTTGTACTTGAAAACGGTGATCATGTCCCCTCTCACTCTTCTCTTCTCCAGATGAAACGAAACAATTTTTTTCAGTCTTCCTCACAGGTCATGTTTTTTAGACCTTTAATGGGTTTTGTTGCTCTTCTCCAGAACTTCTCCAGTTTGTCCACATTTTTCTTGAAATGTGTGGTCCAGAACCGGACAGAGTACTCCAGTTGAGGCTTAATCAGCATGGAATAGAGTAGAAGAATGACTTTATTGTGTCTTGCTTATAATACTCCTGATGATATATCCCATAATTATGTTTGCTTTTTTTTAATAACAGTGCCACACTATTCATAGTTAGCTTGTGGTCCACTAAGACCCCTGATCCTTTTCTCCAGTACTCCTTCCTGAGTAATCCTTTCCCATTCTGTATGGCTGTGTCTACACTGCACCCCTTTTCCGGAAAAGGGATGCAGATTAGACAAGTCGGATTTGCAAATGCAGCGGGGGATTTAAATATCCCCCGCTTCATTTGTATAAACATGGCTGCCGCTTTTTTCCAGCTCGGGGTTTTGCCGGAGAAAAGCGCCAGTCTAGACGGGATCTTTCGGAAAATAAAGCCTTTTCCGAAAGGTCCCTTATTCCTCTTAAAATCAGGAATAAGGGACCTTTCGGAAAAGGCTTTATTTTCCGAAAGATCCCGTCTAGACTGGCACTTTTTTCCGGCAAAGCCACGAGCCAGAAAAAAGCGGCAGCCATGTTTATACAAATGAAGCGGGGGATATTTAAATCCCCCGCTGCATTTGCAAATCCGACTTGTCTAATCTGCATCCCTTTTCCAGAAAAGGGGTGCAGTGTAGACACAGCCCTTGTGTGTAACTGATTGTTCCTTTCTAAATGGAGTACTTTGTATTTGTCCTTGTTGAATTTCAGCCTGTTTACTTCAGACTATTTCTCCAGTTTGTCCAGATCATTTTGAATTTTAATCCTGTTCTCCAAAGCACTTGCAATGACCCCCGCCCCAGCTTAGTATCATCCACAACCTGTATGTGTACCCTCTATGATATTATCTAAATTGTGGATGAAGATATTGAGCAGAATCAGACCCAGAACTGATCCCTGCAGGATCTCGCTTATGTCCTTCCAGCATGACTGTGAACCATTGATAAATATGCTCTGAGAATGGTTTTCCAACCAGTTTTGCATCCACCTGGTAGTGGCTCCATCAAGATTGTATTTCCTTCATTTGTTTATAAGAAGGTCAGATGAGACAGTTTCAAAAGTCTTCCTAAAGTCTTGATTTACCACACACACACACACACACACACACACACACACACACACACACACACACCCTCACCATCTGGATGGCTTGTTTTCCTGCCAAAGAAAGCTATTACATTGGTTTGACATGATCTGTTCTTGACAGAGCCATTCTGTTACTTATCACCTTATTATCTTCTAGGACGGTGCTTGCAAGTTGATTGCTTAATTATTTGCTCCATTATCTTTCTGGGCACAGAAGTTAAGCTGACTGGTCTGTAATTCTCCAGGTTGTCCTATTTCCCTTTTTATAGACTGGCTCTCTATTTGCCCGTTCCCAATTCTCTGGATTCTCTCCCATGTTCCATGGCTTTTCAAAGCTTTTCGCCAATGACAGAGCTATCTCCTCAATCAACTTCTTGTTCATTCCAGGATGCATTTCATCAGACCCTGGTGGCTTCAAGACATCTAACTTTAAGTAATTTGTAACTTGTTTTTTCTCAATTTTAACCTCTGGTCCTAGCTCATTTTCACGGACATCCACTATGTTAGATGTTCAGTCACTATTAATTTCTTTGGTGAACTCTGAAACAAAAAAGTCATTTAGCACTTCTGCCATTTCCTCATTTTCTGTTATGGTCAGGGCTCAACAAATCACTGAATCTACTCGCCCGTGGTGAGTCGATTTCAGCCAGTCGCCCCGTTCACCGGCGGCGCGCGCATGTGCAATGCGGGTCTTGTGCATGCGCAGTGCGGGGCTGGCGAGTAGGTTTCGCTGCCGTTCGTCAAGCCCTGGTTATGGTTACCCCAACTCCTCACTGAGTATCAGCCCTACTCTGTCCTTGATTTTCCTCTTGAATCTTGTAGAATGTTTTCTGGGTTACCCTTTATGTCTCGAGCTAGTTTAATCTCATTTTGTGTTTTGGCCTTTCTAATTTTGTCCCTACATACTTGTGCTGTTTGTTTATATTCCTCCTTTGTCATTTGACCTAGTTTCCACTTTGTGTAGAATTTTTTTTGGAGTTTCAGATCAATGAAGATCTCCTGTTAAGCCTGTGTGGTATCTTCCCATACTCCTCGCTCTGCAGCATCAAAAGCCCTGATTCAGTACCTGTCTAACTAGGTACAGGAGCAGTCCAACTGGCTTCAATGCATTGACTCTAAGGGCATGTCTACACTAGCTCCCTAGTTCGAACTAGGGAGGCTAATGTAGGCATTCGAAGTTGCAAATCAAGCCCGGGATTTAAATATCCCGCGCTTGATTTGCATCTTCTTGGCTGGTCACCATTTTTTGAAATGTACAAGTCCGAACTAACTGCCCGCATCTACACACGGCAGGGACCCAGTATTTTGAATTAAAGCCCTAAATCGAACTACCTGTTATTCCTCCTGCAAGGGGGCTAGACATACCCTAATAGAACTATTCTATTTAAAGTTAGAACCTAATAGAACCTGTTTAAAGTTAAGATTTTGCTGAACCAGAGCCTAAACCCTCATTTTAGAAGGGTATCAGTGTAATAAACTTTGACTATGAATATCAGGCACTTGGATAGCTAGTATGAAGCAAACCAAGACCTAATGAAGTCCATGGGAGCGTTTCCATTGACTTAAATGGATCAGGCCCTGCAGGATAAATTCTTTCATTTTGTGGTCAAGGCCTTTCTGTTAGCTGTCACTTCATATCAGGCTGTTGGAGTGGCTAGGGCTGGCCCCCAGAGAGAGAGATGATCTTAGACCAGGGGTGGGCAATAATTTTTGGTGGGGGGGCACTCCAAGATTTTGGAAAGTGGTCAAGGGCTGCACTTTTCTATGGAGGAGGTACGGAGTCTAGGATGGAGGTTGGGTGCAGAAGGGCGCACGGCGTAAGGGAAAGGGGTGCAGGAGAGGGTGTGAGGTTTGAGAGGGAGTATGGGTGAAGGAGGGGGTTGTGATCTGGGTCAGGGGATAGGGGTGTAGGAACAGGGAGGAAGTATGGGTGCAGGAGAGGATTCTGGCTTGGGGGTGGAGTGTAGGAGGGGGTACAGGGTCTGGGAGGGAGTTGTCACCTGGAGTAGGGGGCACAGAGGGTTTGGATGGTGATCTGGGGGAGGGAGTTGGGGTGTAGGAGGGGCTGGGGTGCCAGAGGCAGGCTTTGGCTGGGAGGCACTTACCTAAGTGTCTCCTGGCCAGCAGCCCTGCAGCACCCCAAGGCAGGCTGGGCTCCCTGCCTGCTGCACCCCCAGACTACTTAAAACTACAGGCTGGTCCCTCCACATGGCTCGCAGCTCTGGGAGAGCGAAAAGGCTTGTGTTACCCCAGACCTGCTGAGCTCCCTGCCTGCTGCAGCCCCAGACAGCTTGAAAATTCAGGCTGCTCTCTCCACGTGGCTCTCCACTCAGGGAGGAAATAGAAGCTTGCACTGCCCCCATCTCCCAGGACAATTTCTTATCTCCTATTGGCTAACTGGCCAGAAACAATAGCAGCTGAGAGATTGGCTGGGGTCAATTTCTATTGGCTGGTTGTTTCCAGCCAAGAGGAGCTGAAGTTTGAGCTGGGGCAGGGAGATCACATGAAGCCTTCCTCTCCCTGCAGAGCAGAAAGCTGCATGGACTGTGCTTTAAATCACGGCAGCTGTGTGCCTAGGGTCCTGGCACAGTGGCCCGTGGGCCGGAGCCGGTGACTTGGTGGGCCGGATCTGGCCCCCGGGCCGTATTTTGCCCAGCCCTGTCTTACACCCTGAGCCTGTGCCTTGGACATGATTTGTGCTCTCTGCTCAGCTCACATCCCTTCCTGTTCTCCTTTGTCAGACAGGTCACCAAAGCTGAAGGGGTGTCTCTAGCTGCCACGTACGGGTGCTTGTTTTATGAGGTCTCTGCCTGCCTGGAGTTCGAGGCTGTGCAGCACGTGTTCCACGAAGCAGTGCGGGAAGTGAGGAGGGAGATGGAGAGGAACCTGCCGGCCCGACCACTGTTCATCACAGAGGAGAGGCCCTTCCTGCACCTTGCTGCCCCAACTGCTGTGGCCTCCAAGCACGGCGTGGCCAGCTGCACGCTCAACACCCTTTCCACAGTCAACTACAAAGAGATCCCCTCTGTGGCACAAGCCAAGCTGGTCACCGTGAAATCGTCACGGGCTCAAAGCAAGAGGAAAGCTCCCACGTTGACCTTACTGAAGGGCTTTAAAATATTTTAAGCCTTATTCCCACCCCCGCATTTACTGCTTCAAAGGGATTGGAAGAGAGCAGCCCTTGGCTTTCATAGCATCCTGAGGAACCTTCTCCAACTTCTACAGTGGCAGTTGACAATTTCCATGGCCGTTGAGGCTTACAGACCGTCTTCTGTGTTTACTGACAATGCGTTGGGGCCTAAGTTCTACAGCAAAGCACTTTGGTTGGAAGGCAAATAGCAGGCCCAGGACTGAAGGAAGAAGAGTCTGAAACTTTGTCATGGCTTCCTTCTAAATCACCGACTTTTTGTCCTGTCCCTGTAGCTCAGCGTCGCTGCGGGATTGGCACGTTACTCCTATTCATTTGCACTGTGTGTTAGTAAAGCTCTTTGCTACAGCAGAAACAGAACATGGAGCGCAGGAGGAAGCCTACGTTATATTCATCACGTCAGCAGTGTGAGAGGCTGAATGCCCTCCTGGGCACAGGTTAAATACACTTTACACTGTCTGCCCAGGAGGCCAGATTCTCTACTTGTACGGGTGTAGCACGTCTTGGAGAATCAGCTCCCGTAAATGCACACCAGCTGATGAGGCAAGATGGGCAGCCTGTAGAATAACTGGGGCCAGAGTCTGTAACCACAGTGATCATGTAGATCGGGGTGGCTGCACGGGCTCTTCAGAAGTTAATTTGTGACTCCTTGCAAAGGAGCCAGCTTCAGAACTATAGGCACCAACTTTCCAATGTGTCAGGGGTGCTTACTGCTCAACCCCTGGCTCTGCCCCCACTCCACCCCTTACCTCAAGGCCTCCACCATAGCCTGACCCCTCCCTGGATCCTGTTGCACCCTCGCTTCTCCCCCCTCCCTCCTTGCCTCCTGTGCATGTGTTACTGTGTCTCTTTGCCGAGGTACAGTGGTATATTCTGGCTCCTTGGCCTAGGTTGGTCACCCCTGCCGTAGATGGCATGGATGTAATGCTCAGCCTGGGACTCCAGGTGGAAATACTTGGTGGAGATAGGGTTGCCAGGTGTCCGGTATTTTCGCCTCCTGTCTGGTAAAAAAATTCAGAAAATACCAGACACCTAAGATGTCCGGTATTTTCTGATTTTTTCCCCTGGCCAGGAGGCGAAAATGCCAGACACCTGGCAACCCTACAAACACTCAGCACCTGGCCTCCCCCCCCTTCCCAAAGCTCCCCCTGTCTCCCCACACCCCCAGCCCCCCAACCCCAGATCCCATGCTTACCTGGTTCTGCAAGGCTGCCGGCACAAAATGACTGCTGGCAAAAAGACCAAGGAGAAGCAATGACTTGCCTAGGTCTTAGTGCTCAACTGCTCCCCGTTCCTATCCCTGCACTCACTCTTAAAGGAGACATGCTGTTTTAATATTGTTTTATTTTAATATATTTTTTTGGCTTAATAAGTCTTGGAGTCCCTTCCTTTTTTTTTCAACAACTTTGGTCTCCTCCCCTTTGTTTTTCATCAACAGAAATTTTTCCCGGTGTTTTTTTTGGGGTGTGTGTGTGTGTATGAGTGTTCGGTATTTTTGTTTCAACCATCTGGCAACCCTAGGTGGAGCTGGTTGGAATAGATGACTTCATCACAGAATGATTTACGGAGAGGTGTTGATTTTCACAGACCTTTTGTCAGGAAGGGTTGAGAGTGAGAAGGGGAGTGGCTAAGGTCTTCCACTGACATGTGGGCAAGCAAGGGAGTTGTCTGTGCACTGGTCTGGGTCAAAATTCATGCTTCTGTCTGATTCACAACAGTGTCCATCCCAGATCACTTTGGTTCTGGCAGACCAGGGATGTGAACCCAGATCTGCCACATCCCAGGCCCGCCCGCTCGCTTTGCAACTTTGAAAGTGACCACAACTTGGAATTGTGGACAAGCTGTAGTATCGGGCTCATGTTGTCAGTGCTGAAGATCAGTAGGGTGAAGGCATAATGTCTGTTGAATCTAGGTAGAAGGTGGTCAGAGATACATGTCAGAAATACGGTTGTTTGGAGTATCTTGACTAAATTTCCATGCTTACCAACAATTGAGGGGGAAGTAGGGGCTTTAAACTGTACCTGGAAATGTCCTAGCTTTCCAATGTTTGTGAAAATGCCAGTGGTCTTCTAAGGTTTGGTCCCTTAAAATTACTGCTATATATTTGCAGTCCTAACTAGATTCATCTGCAAATCCAGAGTTTGTGTCCTGTGCAACTCCCACTGGGATCAGTGGGAAAACTCCCCTTCACTTCCATGGGAGCAGGAAGGGGTCCATTGTTTAGAGATCTACAAATTCCATTACAGGGAACTTGCTACAGCGCCTGTGATGAAAGTCCTTCTTGCTACGTTTGTGTCAAAATGTTGACACAAAGCGCTCCTGGGCTGATCAGTTAAATTTCGTGACCACGGAGCTCTCTAGTGGAATGTCAGAGCACTGCAGCAGGTAGGCCTATCTCATGGCAGGACACCAGCCACTAGAATACAGAAATGCACAAAGGGTGGCGGGTTAGTCTATAAGGCTATGTCTACACTGGGAGTTTTTGCAGCAGAAAATATGCTAATGAGGGACTCATTAGCATAAGTTATGATGTCATTAGCATATTTTCTGCCGTTTCTTTTTGCGCTAGGGGTTTTTGCGCAAAACGAAGCAGTGTAGCCACTTCCGTTTTGTGCAAGTCTGTCCCTCATTAGCATATTTTCTGCTGCAAAAACTCCCATGTAGACGTAGCCTGAATGACTAGTGCCCCTCCAGGTGCAAATTGATTTAAATATGGCAAACCAAGCTAATCGTGCACAGCAAATAAAATGAGGAGTGTTTACATTTTGTGTTAAGCAATAAGCAAGGAAAGAATGTGAATTGAAACGAAAAAGGTTGCAAATAGAACTGCAGCAGAATAAGCACATCCGAGGGTATAAAAGCAAAGCCCAGGCACTGAAATAGCTTGGGCCAAAATTTTTTGTAACGATTTTTTTAAAATGCCATGTTCCTTTTCAAACACTTTGCCAATGGACTACTCCTTTAGGAAGTGGGGTTAAACAAGACCTTGTGTGTATAAAATTGATACATATTCTGTTTGTCTTAAATTATTTGCGGGTGTTGCCAATCCATGCCTGCTGGAGAGAATGCTGAAGAGCTCTCAAGCAAGAGCCCAAATCACAGCGAGCAGGCCACTTTCCGTAAGCCAGGCAATGTCCTTTCTTTTCCTTTTTGTACATGGTTTGGGGACGGTAATTACTCTGCTTCTCTACAGAGTTGCACTTCTCTGCACTGTAAAGTCCTGTATCTATAATGACGCAATTTCAATTCAATGATTTTGGAAAATATTTTAATAAAGGCAACTTTTAACGACGCCTCAGCACATCTGTTTAGCTTCCGCTTTTTCTTGCTGAACCTTCACAGGGTGTTTTAAAGCATGGCATTTCCAGGCGGCCTAGCGTCAAATACTCCCCCCTTCCTTGTCTGGTTTGGCTCATCTGATTGTTTTGCAGGGGAGGCGAATGACAGCTGAGAGAGGGTGGGCAAAGCTGGTATGTAGGAGTATCCTGGAACCAACTGACAGCAGCAGCAGGTCGGGATGGGACCATACTGGCATCAAACCAGACGGGACCAGACCTCATCTGAGTCAGGAGCAGCTCACGCTGAACAACCTCCTCTGCTATTTCTTTTTATTCCACTTGATAAACGGGGCTTAACTTCCAAAGCTTCAGTTAGGATGAATTTAGATACACAACCCTTTGTGAAATGTGTCTAGGGTCTAGATGCCGACTGCACTTCCTGTTAGACGTCTTCCTCAGCCTTGTCTGAGTATAGGGTTGTAACATTGCCATCTTTCCACTGAACCAGAACTTCCCCAGGTCTTTGTTGGTTTGGAATCAATGTTTGTGTTAAAGGATTCAAGTTACTGTCTTCCTTCAAATGCACAAAGGGTGGCTTGGCTTCCGGCTCACTTGGCTTTTCAGCATCAGCACTTTGTTTATACAGGATAATCTTCCTGTTTCTAATGGGGAGGGAGAAACAAGAAGCAACAAGTGAAAAAGCAGACCCGGAGCAGGGTTTTGGTGCGGAACTGGCATACGCGCTGCTCGGCACTGTGTGTACATTAGGGGACGATGTTTAGAAAACCCCAGGTGCAGCAAGTTATGTACATGGAGCGAAGTGTTTAAGTACATGCAGCTGCAGAGTTTATATTACTATCAATGAAATCCAAAGAGAAAATATAATACAGGTTGAACCTCTGCAGTTCAGCCCCTTCGGGACTTTACCAGTGTTGAACCAGAGAATTTGCTGAACCCCAGGAGGTCAATACTGTCTAGCAGCATCACCAGCAAATCCACTGAATACTGGGATGTTAGAAGGCACTTAGGGGTAAATTAAAGCTAAATCACAGCACAGAACACTGAGAGCCGGGACTGGTGGCTGTAAACAAACTTGATGGGACTGCGGAAATTTGGCCACACCCATGATAAGTGGACATCCAGCTCACTCAAATCATGTTGGACAGAGAGTGCTGGACTAGAGAGGTTCAACCTGTACACCGAGTTGTCTAAATCAGAGGTGGGGAAACTTTTTTGGTTTGGAGTCCCTGACACTCAGAAAAATCAGTTGGGGGCCACACACAAGTGAGAGAAAAAAAAACCCAACCTCCAGCCCCCCTCCCTCCAAAAAGACCCCAAAACTCACTGATCAGGATCCTAGCAACAAAATAAAATAAAATACATAAACTCACTGACCTGGCTCCCAAGAAGCGAAAGAACCAAAACAACCCTCCCCTTCCAAAAAAGAAAAACCTTTCTGATCTGGCTTGCAATAAGCTCAGGCACTCTTCCTCCTGTCCCGTGGGGGTGGGGAGGGTGCCAGGGCTCAGAAACTTTGCCACAGGGCTGGCGTGTGAGCACTGGCCTGCTCTGCTGCCGGGGGAAGGCCTGAGACTCGTTACAGACTGGATCCAAGTAAACTGGGGGCCGGATCCGGCCCGTGGGCCAGAGATTCCCCACTCCTGATGTGAATCAATTGCCTAACACCAGCGAGCAATAATCAAAATTAGATGCACAGCAGGACTATCTGATATGACTTTTGCTGCTGCTTTCTTCTGTTAGAATGATGAGAAAATGCTAATGATTGTGGCTGGAGTGAGGTGCAAAATGTGTTGCCTTAGGAGAAAACTGTCTAATGCTCAACTCCGAGGTACCTGCTGACCAACGTGTTTGAATATTGCAGACTGGTGTTATTCCAGTGGAAACTAGATTTTGAGGGTTGAGACATTCTCTGATGCTACATCTGACACTGATTACATCCCACTGTTGCTCTAGAAACCAAATGGTGTGAACGCTTGTTTTGAATAGGCAAGGCAGAGTGGGATGGGAGACATCTTATTATCCTGAGCTCTCTCACACACTTTATCAATCTTAGGTTCTTATTCAGCCTCCATTTTCAGAGTATCTGAGCCCCTCACAATCTTTTTAAAATGGATCTTTTCCCTATAGCAGCTCTGTGAGTTAGGAACATGCTCTTATCTCCAGTTTACAAATGGGGAAACAGAGGCCCGGAATGGCTAAGTGACTTGGCCAAATCACACAAGAAGTCGGTGGCAGAGCAGAACAGGAAACTGAACGGACCAACAAGCCAGCCCTTCCGAGGAGCATAGAGCTGGGCTTTCTTCCACTGTGGGAAAGGGGATTAAGATGCAACCCTCCCTCTGTGCATCAATTGCCTCATTTGGCAAAACAGGGTAACAACCGCCTGGCTTTGTATGGCACATTAGGAAACAGGTGAAAAGCATGATGCAAATCCAACGTGTGGATTTCTATTACTCTAACGTTTCGGATGTGCCAGTGATTTCTTTTGTGCCTGACACACAATCATAGTCATTCCAGTGCTTGGCCGCCATCAGATGGCAACAGCTTTCAACGTGCAGTGCATTCAGGTTAGCAGCCTAGTGGGTAAGTAAGAGCTGGAGTAGTTTTGAAAATAGTCCTGTGGTTGGGTGGATACCCCTTGGGATGATTTCTTGGATCGTTCCTTCTTAAAACCAATCATGATCAAGAGCCCATTTTGAATAGCATGATGTTCCTCCATCACAATCCCTCAGACAGTGTCCTGGCTGGAGATGGGTGGACATGTCGGGGGGAGGGGAGAAGCATGCAGAGAGCCCACACACCTTTGTGCACCCGAGGGAGGGAGAGCCCGTATCCCAACGCTGGACGCAGGGACGGACGGAGGCATGTGCGAGCCGGGCAGCTGCCCAGGGCGCCAACTGATGGGGGGCACCTGATAGCAGCTGCAAGGGGCGTGCGGCGTCTCTTTCAGCTGCCATCAGGTGCCATGCGCCCGGCTCCCGCAGCGCTGGCCCGCCCGCATCCCCGCAGCACCAGCCAGCGACGCCCTTCCCCCCACAGCCACGGGGCCCTACACGGGGGCGGGCCCGCTTCCCCACGGGTGGGCCTGCTCATGTGTCGTGCGCTCCAGGGGCGGTGCCGCACGCCCGTGCCCAGGGCGCCAGAGTGCCTCGGGCCGACCCTGGCTGGACGTCTCTACACACAAGCACTGAGGGATTTTGGATTAAGTCTCCTGTGGGCCGAGGCCTATTAGATTTTGTTAATGTTCCCTCTAATCTTTTTTCATCCATGTGCAGATTTTTTCCAACCATGTGCAGAATAATTTTGATGTGCACTGAGGCACGTGCGAATGTGCACCATCAGAAGAAACAAAACCTAGTTATAGGTGCTCTGCTAATCAGCTGGGCGGCATTTGAATTAGGGATGTTAAAAAGCAGATAATTGGGTAATCCTGTAACTGCTGAAAATTACACATACCAGCTGCTGCCCTGTGCCGCTGCTTCTGGCTTTTAAACTCCTGGCTCCCACCCTGATCCCAGGGAGCCAGCTGTGGCCCCCCTCTGGGGGTTCTGACACAGAGCCTAGAGCATGGAGTGGCAGCCGGCTCTGCCAGACCAGGAGCCTACGTGTAACCATTCACGGTAACAGATAAACCCAGGCTTATTGGTCCCCCACAGGCGCACATCCATGGGGAGCCCTGTTCAGGGTTGGGCAGCCGTCCTCCTGCATACGCTGCCGTGGTGTCTCCGTGGCCTTGTTCTCCCCCGGGCCCCAGCCGTGGGGATGAGCATCCCTGGACCACCAGCGTTCTGCGAGCCTTACCTGTTGGCCATGACGTTTATTCCCAGAAGCAGAAAGCCCAGAAACATTACCGCAATGGACAGGGCTAGGATGGAGTAGTTCCACGTGGACACTGCAGGGAGGAAGCATTGACAAGTGAGGTCGGTGTGGGCACGGCCGTCCTGCCAACCACGGCGCAGCCCTGTTGTGCTGGGTGCGGACCAGCGGCAGGTAGGGTGGGTGAGAGACTGCGCTGGGTCCTGGGGGAGCCGGCTCTGGGGATCCTGGAAGGGGGGGACTCAGGCAAAAGGGGTGAGGCGGGTTCGGGGGGGACACTCCCCCAGCCTTTCAGCACTGTGGCACGCTGCCAGAGGCTCTGGGGGTATTTTGAAGGGCCCGGGGGCTCCTGGCCGATGCCCTTTGAGTCTGGCTGCAGGATTAAGGGAGCACGAAGGGGGCTGTGCTGGGTTGTCTTCATGGAGTCATAGAGTTGGGGGCCAGAGAGGCCCACCCGATCACCCCGTGTGAGCGCCTGTAGCTCCCAGGCCATCGGCTCCACTCTGCGCCGGCGGGCTGACCCCGCGACCGCAGTGAGCCGGAAGGGTTACAGCCCCCGGGAAGCTACACTGCCTTTGGGAAGGAGCACGAGGGGGCGCTACAGCCCCATGCCCTGCAGTGGCAGGGGAATGATTAATAAGCTGGAGCCAGGTGATCCTGGCAGGCCACCCACCCTCGCATGCTGCAGAGGAAGGTGAAACCCCCACCCCCTGCCAATCTGAGGTAAAATTCCTTCCCAGCCTCACCTATGAGAATCCAACCGACAGCCTGCGAACAAGAATCGCCCACTCAAGCTCGCTGCCACCTCTGGGCCCTGCCCCTCCCTCCTGACGCTGGGGAGGAAGATCAGCTCAGGATCTAGCCCACAGTGCATACATTAGATGCCCAGAGAAGAGCTTGCTGCAGGCGGGCCTGATCCACAGGAGCCCCGAGGGACAGATCCTTGGAGGTTTTTAGTCACCTGACTGGGATTGAATGTTTCCTACACAATGCACGAGAGCTCACAATGAGCAGATAACGGCCATCCTGGGTTGGCCCGAAGGTCCTTCTAGCCCAGTATCCTGTCTGCCAACAGTGACCAATGCCAAGTGCCCCAGAGGGAGTGAACAGAAACAAGGAATCATCATGTGATCCCTCCCCGTCACCCATTTCCAGGCAAACAGAGGCTAGGGACACCATTCCTATCCTGGCTAATAGCCATTAATGGACCTATCCTCCATGAATTTATCTAGCTCTTTTCTGAACCCTGTTAAAGTCCTGATCTTCACAACCTCCTCTGGCAAGGAGTTCCACAGGTTGACTGTGGACTGCATGAAGAAGTACTTCCTTTTATTTACTTGAAACCAGATACCTATTAATTTTGTTTGGTAACCCCTAGTCCTTGTGTTATGGCAAGGAGTAAATAACTCTTCTTCATTCCCTTTTTTCCCACTCCACTCGTGATTTTATAGACCTTTAATCATCGGAAAAGTCCCAGTCTTATTAATCCCTCCTCATAGTGCTCCCCACCCCTGCTGATTTCACAAGTGCTGTGAACAGCAGGACAGTTTGCAGGATAGCCCCTGTGACCTTGCAGGACCTACACATGTCTCTGAAGTGCTCATAAGCAGCCTGCTCCGAGGGCACATCTCCAGAGCTGTGTGCCCCAAATGCAGGAGCACCCCAAGCTAGCTGCTTGTTCTGAGGCTAAAGCACCTGGCAGAATTAAATCCCCTTGAAACGGGGGTTTAGACTTTGGCCCAAAGGGGAGGAAGGAGTCTAGGGCTGAAGCAGCGAGGAATGTTATCAGCGAGGAATCACAAGCGGTCGTGTCCCAAAGTCCTTACTTGAGCAAAGCTCCATTGACTTTGGGATGTGGCCCATTAAAAGCTAATATTTAATGATCAAATTCCATGGCATGCCTGTGCTCTTCTGCATGCTGTCCTTTGGCTTCCATGCCAAAGTCTTTTCTCTCCCAGTTTCTGGAAGCAGGTCCAGCATAGGCTAGCCCAGCTTTTCCCCTGGGGCGCTAGGTCTCTGATCCTGCACCACAAACGTCAAGGGAGCTTTGCCGCCCTCTCTGGCTGAGGGATTGACTGTATGGCCTCGGCTCAGGTCATATTGATCCATGCTTCCTGCTTTGTTGAAGCAGCCTATGATCACAGACCTTTGCTCCCACGGCTGGAAGACACACAGGGCAGAAAAGTCAGCCAGCACGCTGGAGAAGTTTCCATGTGGGCTGTAAAAGTTTGCAAGGGAGATCAGGGTAATAAAACGTCTCCCATCCCACTTGGCTTTGCCTTCTGATTCTGGAGGACCACCCCAAGCCAGGGAAGGACCTAGATTTATAACACAGGCTCTGAAGAGAGCTGGATGGGAATTTCCTGATGAAGCAGGTTTTGGGAAAATCAGTACTGGGCAAATTAGTTGAAACAATGGTAAAAAATAAAAATTGGAACAACAAATTTCAAAAAGTTTCAAAATTGTCCACATGCCACGTTTTGACATTTCTGAAACCAAAAGTTTCATTGGCTGGTTCCAAATGGCTTTTTATTTTTTTTAAATTGGAATTAACCTAAAAAGAGCTTGACTTTGAACCAAACCATTTTGAAATGACCCCATCTAAACATTTTGAGTGAGCCAATCCCAATTCTTTTTCAGCTTATTGGTCCACAAACATTTTTGAAGTTTGCATTTTCATCCTGATTCAGCACAGCAAAACTTTCCTACAGCTCAAAAACTCTCCTGGGACAGAAAAATCATTTCTGGCCCTCTTCTATGGTTGAAGCCAACAAGGTTCACAACCAGGCACATGTTTCCCTTCCAGCCCCTGAAGGTCTACCATGTTTATTTATGGTACCTACTATCTTCTCTCCGGTAAAACCACAGCAGCGCCTGAAGTTGTTCTTGAGAAATAGTCACTGCACGAGTGGTATTGCCTGCCGCGTCGGCATGTGCTCGTGTGCTGGTAAGAGCCATGGAGGAATAACTGCTTCCCTCTGCCTTTTCTGTGAAAAAAACAGAAAGATGGACTGACTGGACACCGTGGTTCTGTGGCAAACGCACAGGATGGAAGAGCCTCACTACTGATTCCCGGCGCTGAATTTCTCTTGTTGCACATGGGCACTTGTGCAGGCGCAAAAGCGAGCGTGCGGGTACAAAAGCGAGCTTGCGAACAGAGCCCTGAATTAAACACGTGGGTCAAGGAACAGGAATCCGAGAGAAATGTTTGTGTCTGCTCCAATCGCTACCAATCTTGTTATTAATCAGATTTCCCTGTTGGTGGCCAGTCAGGGTATGTCTACACTACCCTCCTAGTTCGAGCTAGGAGGGTAATGTAGGCATACCGCACCTGCAAATGAAGCCCGGGATTTGAATTTCCCGGGCTTCATTTGCATAAGCGGGGTGCCGCCATTTTTAAAACCCCGCT